AGCTTTTATTTGTTGACTTCATGGCTTTGTTAAGATTATAGGTTTAAAGGGAGAGTTCATATCCAAAGATTACCTTGTTAAGAGGGAGAGCCTTTTAAATTTATAAATTTCACTTTACTTGTGAGGTACCCTGGTGGGAGCCATAATAATGGCGACCTCATTTGAAAGCTGATTTCTTTCTGTGATATCAGTCTTTTAATGAAAGCACCAAAATTATGAACACAAATCCAAATGGGAGAGCCAATTTCAAGATGTTAGTTTATCGGTTGAGAAAGTCTTTTACACTTATAAACTCCATCTGACTAGTGAGGCTCGTTGGACTCAACAGACTTGCAGGTCCTTGATAGATTTGAAATTGTACCATGCTTGAGCAAACAGTGTAGTTTTATACTTGAGGCTACGTTAAGGTTTGCATGATCATTTAACCACATTTCAAAGACATGGTTATGCATTGAACTCTAGTCCACCAAAGGTACTTGTTACATGTCTCAGCCTTGCATTGAAAATGCCCATCGGACAGTGGGAAAGCCATATTGAATTGGCTGATTTCATCTTGTCTGGCTCCCAGTTTATGAGCCGCACTTCTGTCCTTTAGCTATTGAGAAAAGGAGCTAGTTAATTGATAAGAAGAAATAAAATCTCTACAAACGAAGTCTTGCCTTTGATTGTTTTAAAGAATATTTCAAGATCTTCCATGTTCCTTCCTTTTCTATATGTATATATATATACAGAATTAATTTAAACAGTTTAAAAAAGTTGATTAAGTGTAATAATTAAGTTTGAAAATAAAATTTAAACTAAAATATTCTTGTACTTAATCAACTAAGTATGTATTAATATTGTCTTGTGAATGAAAGCTATGATTTTACGAGGGATAATTTAGAAAAATTATAATAAATGTTTATTGAAATGTGGAATTTTGTTTATAAGAAAATAAAGAAAAAATTAATCATTTAATTTTTTTAGTTTTGATTCGATTATAACTTAATTTTTGAATTTTAACTTGTAATTTAATTGCTAAAGTTTTAATGAGGTTGTAATTCAATCTTTAAACTTTGATTCTTGTAACTCTATCTTTATATTTTTTGATCATTTAAAATATTAATCCTTATATTTTAAAAAATTAAATTATAAAGATTAAAATTATATTAAAATTTATGACTAATATTATAAATTACTAACCATTTTAATCTTAATAAATAATATAAATATTAAAAGTTTAAATATTTTTAATTTTCATAATTTTATTATTTTAAATATAGGGGTTGATTTTTAAATGATTGAAGCTATATGAATTGTTTGCTCAAAAAAAAAAGAAAAAGACAAAAATTGTAGAGATTGAGTAGTAAGAGTCAAAATTTAAGGATTGAATTACAATTGAGTTAAAATTATAAAGTTTGAATTATAATGAATTAAAGTTTAAGGATTAGATTATAATTGGATCAAATTATATGTTTAAATAATTAACTTCTTTTAAAAAAATAAGATAGCATTTGACAATTTCTTTTATGTTCAAAAAGAAAGGGAGTAAATTAATTTGATATATAACAAATGATACATCTTTAAGATGATAAAATTTGAAAGTAAAAGATTAATTGTTTTGAAAAAAAATATTGAGGATTATTCATCCAAAAAAAATTGAGGATATTGGTTCAAATAATTAATTTTTTAGAAAAATAAGATAGCATTTGACAATTTCTCTTATGTTCAAAAAGAAAGGGAGTAAATTAATTTGATATATAACAAATGATACATCTTTAAGATGATACAATTTGAAAGTAAAAGATTAATTGTTTTAAAAAAAAAATATTGAGGATTATTTATCCAAAAAAAACTAAGGATTATTGAAAATGAAAAGAATCCTATTATAAACATATAAGAGTTTTATAATACAATCAAGCGTTTTAATTGATGGTTAATTATTAAAGAAACAACAATTGATATTCTATAAACTAGTACTATAGTTGAAGCATCAAAATTAAGGATGAAAATAGATTAGGTCAAGTTAGGTTTTAATTAAGTAAGCATAAGCCTTCATGGTAGGTTAGAGACTTAAGCCTAGGCTTATGTAAGGTTTTTTTTTTTTTTTAATAGCTCAGGTTTAAACTTATCTAAAGCTTGACTTGATTTAAAAGTTTATTTAAAAATATTCTTATAAGTAAGCCTTTTAAACAGGCTTATATATTAATATTAAACGATTTAAACATGCATGAGGACTGTTGTCTACAATGTAGAGTTTGCATATATGTAATATAATTTATCAATTATAATATATAATACTTAAGATGATTTACTAATTGCAATATAATACAATAATAAAATAATAATATTAAAATCAATACATAAGTTTAATATGATTGAAAATATAACTAAAGATATAAAAAGAATGAATTATTGATTAAAAATTAAACAGTAAAAACTAATGTATGTGTAATTTATTACAAAATAATATATATATATATATATATATAAATAGGTCGCCATGTTTGACTTATAGCTTAAGTCTTATAAAAATAGGTTTGTCATATTTAGTTAAATAGATATACTCAAAGGCTTGAACTTGACTTATGTTTATTTAGTAAATAAATTGGGCTGTGTTTGAAGTATATTAGGCCATGGGCTTATCATATCATCTCTAATCAGAATCAATGACTTTCATATCAACATCAAAGGTTGAAAATGGTGCAATTGGGAGAGGAATCGGATTTTTACTTTGTGGTGTTCAAACTAACAAATTAATGAAGCTTGGCATGTCTACTTTCTCGCGGCTGATATAACGATTGGCGTGGCAATTATCAATTTATTTGTTTACCAACATTTCCTTTCACCATAACACTGAAAAGTAATGCATATGAGGTCATATAAAGTAGAGAAAGCGTCCACACATTAACTTCGTACATATTATTTTTTGAAGCTTGAATCATGGATTGGATTACATGCCTTTTTTCTTTAGGGTCGACGATTAGGGTCGCAACTTCTAATCAGACGGCAAAAAAAAAAAAAAAGACCACAAATCAAAAAGGACATCAGATTATCACGCACTCCTGACCAATTATTGAAGTATGATCGAAATCTCACCTCCGAACGAATTATTATAGCCTCCGAAATAAAAGATTGTTTTCCCAGTAAAGACATCATTATTTTTCCATTTATACATCATCAATCAAAATTTAGTTGAACATTAATTCTTATATTTGATTCAAATGTTATACCGATAACTAATTTAATTTATTTAGTAACTATTTATTTAAGCTTAAAAATAAGTGATTTTAGATATTTTATTAATTTTATGAAAAGTTATTTATTGTGTAGATTTTTTTATAAAAATAAGAAATTATTTTGTATTTGATTGCAATTATAAAAACAAGTCATTCTTTAATAATTTTTTTAATTTTATGATAAATCAATATAACTTTGTATTTTCTTAATATAGGGCCCGTTTGTTGTAGTTTATTTTATGAAAAATAACCTATTTTTTAAAAAAAATTTATTGTGTGAATTTTAATTATGTTAATTTAAATTTTTGAAAATAATTAGAATATGAAAAAAGATATTTTTTTATTATTTTTTACTAACATATTTTTTATTATTTTAAGAAGCTACTTTGAGTTGCTTATGACAATATCTAATATAATAAATGAGAAAGTGTGTTTTAACTTTAAAGAGGTGGGATGCCCAAAAATATTATAAAATTTTAAAATAATGTAATAATAAATTATTTTTATAAAACAAAAATTAAGGAATATATTGTAAAATTTAAAAATAACTAACTAATACTCATTTTTTATTATTGCAATTAAGCATAAAATAATATTTATTTTTTATAAAATTTTTACAAATAAATTTCTTTTATAAAATCTTTAAACTATTTAAAAATTATTTATTTTTTAATCTTAAACAAACAGGCACATACTCTCTTAATTATCTGATTGTATGTATAAGTTAGTCAAAGTAACTTCACAAAATAATTAGAAACATGGGTTTTTTTAAATTCTAATTATTTTTTTAAAACTTAAAAAATATAAAAAAATTGTAAAAATGATTTTTTTAAAAAAAGTAACTTAAAAAAAGCTTAAACAATCTGACCTAAAAGTTTGACAATTCAATTAAAGAAAAATTTTAAACTAATAAGGTATAATATTTCTGCGTCTACCACTTACCTAACGCATTGTATATCTTGGTTCAAGAGAATAAATGACTAGAAGAAGAGGATATAAATAACCTACCTGCATGCTTACATAAATACAAACACAAATACATTTTATATATATATATATATATATATATCCTAATACGGAGATGGAGATCTTCATGGTACATAGATACTTGAAATTAAGCATAGTACTTTGAGTTAAAGAATAAAAATACTCATAATTTTTTTTTAAAGCATCCAATATTTTAAAGTGAATGAGAGTATAAAACTATTTATAATACTAATCAAGTGGGTGCACGAGTACTCTATAGTTTAAGTTGTCTCCTGTCATATTCCTCTCCATTTTTCTTCTTTCTATCTCTCTATTTGTGTTTTTTTTTTCTGACCTGGAATCTCTCTATGTGTTTTAAGATATACCTTTCATTATTATTTTCTATGTATATATGCTTGCCAGTTACCATCTACAATTGAGACTAGCAATAGGCAGTTAAAAAAGGAAAACGATGGCCAGATTTTTGTTTGCTCACACCTTTGTGGCGGAAGTTCACAATTTCAAATCTTGGAGGGACCAGTTAACAATTTAGAAAGAAAAGGCCGACTAAACAGCAAGAAATTTTTTTTTTTTTAAAAAGAGAATAATCAAACATGCGTATGCCCCCGCGCTGAGATCAACCTGACGCGCGAGTTAGCTTCTCCTTCGCTAGCTGAAGGCAGACACGTCACCATCCTTGGTGGGTGCTACCTCACTTTATCTTTCTCTCTCATCCCCTAACTGCCCGATGTTGCCGCTTCTCCGGCTGCCCGAACTGCCCGTCCCTTCTTATTCGCTCTCTCCCTCTTTTTTTTTTTTTTTTTTGACCAGTCACCTCCATATTCCCTCTCTCTGATGTCGAGCCTGTACGGTCTCGCCGGCAGCTCAAAGTCCTACCCGTCTTCGGGTAATGCTGTGTCTATGACGAATCACGAAACAAACTCTTCTGTCTAGTTTTTGATTCGATTAAAGAAAAATAAATGATTAACAAAGGGGGGAAAGAAGAGTGAGAGGGAGTCGATAATTGTGAAAGGCTGGACATCTATTTTTTTTTTTTGTTTTTTATGTGGCATTGTATTCCACTGGTCAGCTTCGAAGAGGAGAAGCCCATCTCTGAGATTTCTGGGTCTTTGAGCAGAAAGGTTACTTCTGTACTTAGTTCAAGTTCGCTGCTGTGTTCCTTCTGGGTAGAGCTGACACTACTCCCATCAGCTCCCGCAAGCCGATCAATCGAGGGCGAAGAAGACACGGGGGTGGTTTGGATGCTGATTTACTCCATGTGATCTGCTCTCTTCGTTTTTCCCCTTGGTTTAAATTACTGGTCTTAGTTTTGATTACTGTGTTTCGAGGAGTTTGGAGGAGTAGTGATTTTTAGGTTTTGTTTAAGGAATTTATCAGCTGGGCTTGACCGACCCTTCTTTGCTGCTTGTTGTGCTGGGAGGGGGTGGTTTTCGATATTCGAGGGGCTTTTAATGATATTTGAGGTTAATGCCTCAAGGTTTTCAAGAGATGGGGTTGGGTGCTGATAATGGTAAGGTGGAGTCTTGGGATGTCAGCAAATCAAAGGGGAGGAAGAAGAAGAAGAAAGATGATGGCGTCGTGGAAGAGGAAGAAACTGGGTGCTGGTTTAGGCTGAGGTTTATCGGGAGTTGCATTTCTTCGAGATCCAAGGTTGATAGCTCAGTTAGCAGCATCAGCACTCATTACGGTAACTTCTGTTTTCCTTGGGAAAATGTTGTTCATATGATATGCTTGAGCGTTCCACCTCCATGCATGTTTTGCCGTATATTTACATTGTACCTTTTCTTAGTCAGAGTAGCATGATTTGAAGTATTGTCCCGGCATATGGTCCTTCACATCAGGGGGAAATGTCTTTCTTGACCATCAAGTGCTAGTTTACTGATTCATCTGGCAAGTCAATCTGAAATTACGCTGCAAAATGTGAAATGATTGAGAAATGATGGTTGTAAACTAGTGTTTTTGATAAATTTTTCTCTGGCCTCTTTCAGAGGGTTGTGTCAGAATAGACTTTAGATGAGCATACAGAGGAGGTTCGCATACTATGAAATAAAAATTTCATTTACTTGTAATTTCTATTTCCCGAAGCATACATTTAAAATTAAATCCCAAGCAGAGTTCCATAATCTTCGATAACATGCATATGCATGTATATATTACTCTGGGTGAGAAGTTGCTGTGGGTGGGGATTTAGACTGAAACTGTAACGCCTTTACATTTGAAAAGAGATTGTCATATGAAAGAGGTTCAATTAGTCACAGAATAATGGTTTAGAGGAAAACTGGGAAAAAAATGAACATTTTAAAAACATTTATAGGCCCTAAATGATCCCCCATGCTCTAGAAACAACCCGTTAGAGAAACATGGCCCAAAGGACACAAAACACAAGGGGGACAGTGGCCTTTTGCTGTGGCATCCTGTAGCTTTGCTTTGGCAAACCACTCTGCCTGCTATACGGACTGATAAAATGCTCAACTTTTGGAGCTTATGTCTTGGAGTGTAGACCTCCGTTTTGAATGTTTCAAGTTTCCATACCAAACTTGGGATGAGATCTAACTAAGGGCACTAACTTCAAGCCAACCCAATGACATCAGAGGCTTCAAGGGCACGAACCAAAACGTGCTACTTTTGACACCTTAACCTTTTTTGAATGGTCTTAAAATGACTCAAACAAATTACAAATCCTCAAGTGGCCTTTTGACCAGATTAAAATGACTATGTAGAGTTAGGAAAAGCTGTCATGCAAGACCAAAAGTAATCCGATCAAAACTTGACTTTCTAGGTTCTTAGTCTACCAAAGACCATACGCATGATAACAACTATTAAACATATAACTAACCCCTTTATACAATCATAACCAAAGCAAGAGCTCTGAAGTTATCAACACATACATGATCAATTCATAAATCATGAACCAATGTATTGGGAGTGGATATCATCCTTTCACTTGTTCACATTCATGGCATATTTAATCAACTAATTGGGAAAAGATGGCCTCCCAAACCTCAAAACAGATGTATTATAATCAAAAGTCATAGAATTACTTCCATTACGCTTTGCAACTATCCAAAGCAATATTATATGCTAAATATAAGTTCATCTAGCTATACATTCCCCAAAGGTTATTTGGCAAGCAAGATGAGGGTGTCATTGCTCAATTTCCTTCTCCTTGTTGCTACTAATGCCTTCACTTGGAAAAATGGGAAAGAATGAGAGTGAGATGTATATCTCAGTAACCTAGGAAATACAATTTGAAGTTCAAAACTCAAACCAACTGGATATACATTTGTAATTAAAAACTGTGCTTGATAATGAAATTTCAAAATCATTGTAAATTATCATATGCAACAGGTATGTGGTTATATATTACTGGACTATGGTTAACTCACCTTGAAAAGTGCGCTAACTCCCCAAATATGCCAATCATAAGTCCTTAAAAATATGCTGATAAGATGGCCAGCATACAAGCCTAGAGATACACATGTCATTAAGTTAGAAACCAAAATAACTAGAATACAAACCTAGAGGTATACATGTTATTCAATCATGTTTGCATACAGCAGTTGGAAAACAAACATAAACATACACATGCTACTATGCTGGACTCACTTCAGTGGCACATAAACCTTGAGATATACATTCCAAGGTGCTCTATAACATTTCACAAAAAACCACTATCTCAACTAAAACTTCACAATCATATGCATGCCCGTTCTCAGACATATTCAAAGCTATCAAGTACAAGGTAAAACTATAGTTACCTCCAGTCATTCACTGTGGTTACCGCAATAGTGAGAGCCAATGACTAGTTTTCATGCTCACATGGTGCGAGACTCTTAGCCTTACAATCATTGAGCTCAAGTTGAAAGCCTCAAACCCAACTATTTAATCAATCAAATACCATTTCCATGAGTAAATCATCAAAAAGAGTTAGACCTGACCTATTTCAATCATATCCCACCATTACCAATTTAGAATTTTCGGATTTCTGTGCTGCCACGCTTGGGATTTATATTTAACTCATAATTTACGTAATCAATCAAAACACAAGCACCCATACCAAGAGAAAGCTCAAACACATTATCTAGGAATAAACTTCATCTGAAAACCACTTCTTCATCTGAAAATCAAATAGGCATAGCCACCGATCACAAAAACCAGCTTCCAATATGCATGAGAGGGAGAGGGACAAGAGAAAACAACATACCTCAAGTTTGCAGGCAAGAATAGTGTAGAAATCGCATGTCAAAACCTTGGGAGAACTCTTGCTGCTGCTCTTTGAACCCTATCTTCTCCCCCCCCTTTTTTTTGTATTTTGCAATCAAGAGGTGTATTTGAGCTGCAAAAACGCTGGGGATCACACCCAAACATTTCATTAACAACAATTCTTATTCAGTTAGCCCAAAACCTCCATTATTTATTTCTGAAATCTAGATTTGTATTTTCTGGATCTTCTAGAAACAAATTAGCAAGTTTTGCAATTGGAGCTAAAAGTTGAGTAATTAATACCGGAGTTAGTTGAGTGAAAATTGGATAGGGAGCTAGGTTCAAACATGTTTGGAAAGAACTAAATAAAACATTGGCAACCATGTGTCCGTGCTAGCATTGGATCAGCTGTAATATAAGGGCTTTAGCTATAGCTGTGGTTACTAATTGGGAATTTCACATCTAAGTTGTCTCAATTTAAAATAGTTAAAGTGACAATGGGGAAAACTAGTCATTTTATTGTACTAGGATCAAGGGTGTCAAAACAAGTGTCTTTTTGAGAATTTTGCCAGCCTCAATTCCCTTGCACTTCCAAAATTACGAAACCATCATTCAGTTTAATTTTCCTCTGACCTCAACGAATGGGGGATAAGTTCATAAATCATATGATAGCATTCTCAACTTACTTATGGCAATCAAATTGTGTGACTTGTATGAAATGCATCCTAAAGGACTTGTCTCAGGTCAATTTTCATAGGCTTTCTGTATTTCTTTGTTGCTTTTGATGTATTGTTGATCGCAAAACTATAGACTTCCTCTCATCTTGCCTAAGCTCAATATTACATTAAGTTGCTGCTGTTTTAGGTTCTGATTTTTTAGCCTGTCTTGTTGTTTTGGCTTCTCATTAGCTGAAAGTAAATCAACTAACGGTACAAGTAGAGATCAACCAACAGCTCCAGTAGTCTCTTCTACAACCACAAGTAACGCAGAAAGTAATTCATCCACCTCCAAACTTGAAGAGGAGCTTAAGGTTGCTTCCAGGCTGCGAAAGTTCGCATTTAATGATCTTAAGTTGGCAACTAGAAACTTCCGGCCTGAGAGTCTTCTTGGTGAAGGTGGGTTTGGTTGCGTATTCAAGGGATGGATTGAGGAAAATGGAACTGCTCCAGTGAAACCTGGCACAGGGCTGACAGTTGCTGTAAAAACTCTCAACCATGATGGGCTCCAGGGTCATAAAGAATGGCTGGTCTGTAACTTTGATAATGTGTTTTATCTTATGAATTGTTTAGAATTTGGTCCCCCCCCCCCCCCCGCTTTTTTTTACTGCATTCTATTATAATCATTTTAAGATATAATGTTTCTCGTTTTTGTTGTGTGCCAGGCTGAAGTAAGTTTTCTTGGCGATCTAATTCACCCAAACCTTGTAAAACTCATAGGGTACTGTATTGAAGATGATCAAAGGTTGCTAGTTTATGAATTCATGCCTCGAGGAAGCCTGGAGAACCACCTATTTAGGAGTAAGTATTTGTTTTTCCTCTGTCTAATGAGTTTCCTCTAATTATCTTCTAGTCATAGTCAAAGCACTAGCGCACGTTAAAAGGTTCTAATGCTACTCTAAGTTTAGAGTTCTGCTGGAGGCCTCTTGTTAAAACTTGTTGCCTTAGCAGCACAAACAAATATTGGTGGAAAATAGTGTCATGGCTTTTGAATTACCTCAATTCAATTTCGCGTGTCCAAGTTTCATTGTGTTTATGGTGTAGACTAGTCTTATGACCTCCTCATTCAAGAACTACAAGCATGGGGTCACCCACTTTTTGGTGTGAATGATAATAATAGTTGAAATCTGCCTAACACATATAGAAAGTTGTCTAAATAAAATTTTCTTTATTTGTTGGCTGGGACATATGCCATATGTGGCTTGGAGATGTACCAAGCATGGCTTAGAATTGAGCAAACAGGGTCATGAATGACCCCAAAGAAAGGGGAAAAAACCATAGCAAAAGATAAAATTAACTACTGGATAACTTATCTTGACAGGATAATTACTCCCCCCTCAAACAAATTTTTATGATAGTTTATGAATAATTGTAATAATATAGATTAACAATTTATGATTTCGTAGATTGGTTTAAAATAGCAACAGTGTCAGGATAATGTTTAGTAATTAGAATCACCATGGGTAGACTGTGGACTGGAATTTAAAACTTCTGCTTTGTGATACCACTTTCATGGGATTATGTTCTTGTTTGATGTAGGATCCCTGCCGCTTCCATGGTCCATTAGAATGAAAATTGCGCTAGGAGCTGCAAAGGGTTTGGCTTTTCTTCATGAGGAAGCTGAACGACCTGTAATATATAGGGATTTTAAAACTTCCAATATTCTATTGGATGCTGTAAGTTCCAAAAACTGCTAATATAAGCATATCATTTTCCTTTTTGTCCATCCTTCTTACAGTGTAACGATTCAGGAATACAATGCCAAGCTTTCAGATTTTGGTCTTGCCAAAGATGGTCCAGAGGGTGATAAAACCCATGTATCCACCCGGGTGATGGGAACATATGGTTACGCAGCACCAGAATATGTCATGACAGGTAATTTTAGTTCAATTTGTTGAGTCCAGGCTCCCATGTTTTGTTCTGCATTGTAGCAACAACAACAACAATAACAACAACAAGCCTTTATCCCACTAGGTGGGGTCGGCTACATGGATTGCAAGACGCCATTGTGCTCTATCATTTATTAAGCTTTTAGAAATATTATTAATTAAGAGATCACGTTCAACAACTTCCAAGAGTGTTCTCTTAGGCCTTCCTCTACCTCTCTTAATCGGACTCAAAGTTATATGTTCCACTCTTCTCACTGGTGCCTCCCTTGGTCTTCTTTGTACATGCCCAAACCATCTCAACCGATTTTCTACCATTTTTTCCTCAATAGGTGCCACCTTCACTTTTTCACGTATGTGCTCATTTCGAATTTTATCTTTACGTGTATGTCCGCACATCCATCGTAACATTCTCATCTCTGCTACTCCAACTTTATGCTCTTGCTGTCCCGTTAGAGCCCAGCATTCACTACTATATAACATTGCCGGTCTGATAGCAGTACGATAAAACTTTCCTTTAAGTTTATTAGGCACCTTACGGTCACAAATAACTCCTTTAGCTTTTCTCCAATTAAACCACCCAACTTGAATTCTATGTGAAATATCTCCACTGATTTCGCCATCATTTTGGATAATGGCTCCCAAATATCTAAACTTTTCCACTTGAGGTATAATTTGATCTCCCAATTTCACTTCCAAATTATTTTCGAATAGTCCTTTATCAAATTTACAATATAAATATTCCGTCTTACTTCTACTCAGACGAAAACCTTTCGACTCCAATGTCCTCCTCCATAACTCAAGTTTGCAATTAACCTCTTCTCTTGTCTCTGCTATAAGAACTATATCATCCGCGAAGAGCATACATTTCGGGATTTCCTCTTGAATATGTTCCGTCAAAACATTTAAAATCAAGTTGAACAAATAAGGACTCAGAGATGATCCCTGATGTAGCCCAATCTTTATAGGAAAATCCTTTGTTTGACCACTAGGCGTTCTTATACTAGTTTTTACCCCCTCATACATATCTTGTATGGCTTTAATATAAGCAATCCGTACTCCCTTTTTTTCCAACGCTTTCCAAAGCACTTCTCTTGGTATACGGTCATAAGCTTTTTCCAAATCAATAAAAACCATGTGTAGATCTTTATCTTTACAACGATACTTTTCCATTAATCCCCTTAGTAGATAAATCGCCTCTGTAGTTGATCTACCTGGCATAAAACCAAATTGATTCTCAGAAATACTTGTCTCCAATCTCAACCTGTGCTCAATTACTTTCTCCCACAATTTCATTGTGTGGCTCATGAGTTTAATCCCTCTATAGTTAGTACAATTCTGAATATCTCCTTTATTTTTATAAATAGGAATTAATGTACTTCTCCTCCACTCATCAGGCATTTTCTTGGACCGTAAAATCACATTAAATAACTTAGTTAACCATCTCACCCCTTCTTCACCTAAACATTTCCACGCTTCGATAGATATACAATCAGGTCCGTTAGCTCTACCATTTGCCATTTTCTTAAGAGCTTCCTTTACCTCCTTATCACGTATTTTTCGATAGAATGACAAATTTTGTTCTCCTTCACCAGTTACTAAATCCTCCAAGTTACTAGATGAATCCTCTCCATCATTGAAAAGTTTAGAAAAATAAGTCTCCCATCTATTTTTAATTTCATCATCTGTAACTAAAATTCTTCCCTCTTCATCCTTAATACACCTTACCTGTTCTAGATCTCTTGATTTTCTTTCCCTACTCTTGGCAATCTTATAAATATTTTGCTCTCCTTCCTTCGTCTCAAGGTTCTTATAAAATTCTTCAAAAGCTTTAGAACGAGCTTCACCCACAGCTCTCTTAGTTTCCTTCTTAGCCATACGGTACCTCTCCCAATTTTCCTCATTGTTACACAAATGTATGGCTTTAAAACAGTTCTTCTTATACTTGATTTTGTCCTGTACACTATTATTCCACCACCAAGACTCCTTATCTCTCGGACCAGGACCTTTCGATTCTCCCAAAACTACTTTTGCAACCTCCCGTATCTTTTTAGCCATATCCTCCCATATGATGTTAGCACTTCCCTGAGAATCCCAAATTCCTTTATCCAAAAGATTTCGCTTGAAAATATCTTGCTTCTCACCTTTTAATTGCCACCACCTAATCCTTGGTGTTATTACTTGTCGACGTTTTTGGATTTTACTCATAATACACACATCAAGGACTAGGACCCTATGTTGTGTCGTTACAGCATCTCCAGGGATCACCTTACAATTTTTACAAAGTTTTCTATCTGTGTTCCTAACCAAAAGAAAATCAATCTGCGACCTTGAGGCTCCACTTTTGTAGGTGATGAGATGCTCATCTCTCTTCTTGAAACAAGTGTTGGCAATCTTAAAATCATACGCCAATGAGAAATCAAGAAGAGTTTGCCCTTCATTGTTTAGCTCTCCAAAACCAAAACCACCATGCACCCTCGCATACTGACCAGCTTCCCTCCCGACATGCCCATTAAAGTCTCCTCCAATAAAAATCTTTTCACTCTGTGGTATGTGTCGAATCAACCCCTCCAGATCCTCCCAAAATAATTCCTTAAGACTGGCTTCTGTCCCGACTTGCGGCGCATAAGCGCTAACAATATTAACAGTCTCACGTCCAATTATCATTTTTAAAGAAATAATTCTGTCTCCAATTCTGCTAACTTCTACAACGTTCTTCTTCCACTCCTTATCTATAATGATGCCTACTCCATTGCGTGCACTTACTTTTCCTGTATACCAAAGTTTGAAACCTTGAATATCCTTAGCTTCTTCTCCACGCCATTTTGTTTCTTGCAAGCAAAGGATATTGATTTTCCTTTGAATCATAACCCCTACAACCTCTACAGATTTACAATTTAATGTCCCAACATTCCAAGTACCAAATCTAATTTTGCTCTTATGGACTAACTTCTTTAGCCGCGTGCGTCCAGAATGACGCGGTAGCCCTTGCTCATTTAACACTACATCCGGGCGCCGATGCAGCGGCTCTAACTCACTTATCACTGTACTCGAGCCATGCAGCGCGTTACTTACGGGCAACGACCTAGCATTAACATTATAACGTCTATTGTCCATGTTCATGATAGATTCAACAAATTTTTACATTGGCTGTTGATGGCCTAACACAACCCTCCTCCTTTACCCGGGCTTGGGACCGGCTATAAACATAGGCGGAGTTTGCATTGTAGCAACACAGGCACACATTTCATTGTTTTTTTTTTTTCTTTCGATCATATTACCTGCTCCATATATAGCATTCTTTAAAAAATTAAGAACAAAATTACAGAAATGCAATTCCCTGAGGGACTGTTTGTTCAGTGCAATGTTCATGATCTTTATTCAGTGAGGTTTTAGTGTTACTCTCTTTGGTGACCTTGCAAGGTAGGTTTACGGATTAGTATCATTACTAATTTCAGAGTTTTATGATTTCACTGCCTGTAATGATCAATTGTGGTTATCGTAGTCTGGATTTTTGTGCACGCAGTTAATTTATTCTCTAATGCCATTATTTGGTATGCTGAAAGGGGCTTTTTGGGAAGGGAAAGTTCCCAATTTGCATGTCTAGTATGCGGATTGAATGATTCCTAGAAAAAGCTATGTGCATATGGAAGTTGTGTGTGCGTGGGGGAAGTTGTATTTATAAGTTACATGGACGCACACCTAAGATTTTTTTCCTTCTGGTTTCGACATTTAAGTTTTGTGTGTATGATAAGCTGCACATAAGTTTTATTTATATAACTATGCATAACAATTTTGTATAAAAAGAAATGAAATGCTGAGCACAAAAAGGCTTAAATATTGAACACTGCGTTTTAATTTTTTTCAAAAGGTAGATCCGTCAATTTTCAACTCTTCTAATCATTTGCCGTTATGCCAAACAGACCATGGAACAGGAATATACCTTCCTTTCTAATATCCACCAAACATTATTTGGGCCAAGAAAGTAATCTTCCATGGAAAGCTCTCTCCCATTCCTATTTTATACCAAACATAAATGTTATAAACTTGAAAGCCTGCAGATTTATTGCCCGTATATTTTATGCTTAAATTTGTTCCAAATCTTTTTTATTATAACCCAGCATCTGAATCATCCGAATCATTTCAATCAGATTTTACATTTTGTTGCAGGTCATCTTACATCAAAAAGTGATGTGTACAGTTTTGGAGTTGTTCTTCTTGAGATGTTGACTGGCAGAAGATCTATGGACAAAAACCGACCCAATGGCGAGCATAACCTTGTTGAATGGGCTCGGCCACATCTTGGAGAGAGAAGAAGGTTCTATAGGTTGATAGATCCTCGGTTAGAAGGTCACTTTTCTATAAAAGGAGCTCAAAAGGCTGCCCAACTGGCCGCTCACTGCCTCAGCAGAGATCCAAAAGCCAGACCCCTGATGAGTGAAGTTGTAGAAGCTTTAAAGCCCCTGCCAAATCTTAAGGACATGGCAAGCTCATCATATTATTTTCAGACGATGCAAGCTGACCGCTTCAGTGCCAGCCCTAATACTCGAAACGGGCGAACGCTGCTTTCCCGGAATGGGCAGCAGCAGAGGAGCCTTTCTATACCACACGGATCTCATGCATCTCCATATCACCACCAGTTTCCCCTACAATCCCCTAAACCTAATGGCAAAGCATAGAGTTAAGGAATTTTCAACTTCATTTTCTCCTTTTTTTCTTGATTCCTTGCTTTCTCAGTATAGATGTACTTTGTGTCAAACGAAACCATTCGAGGATAACTTGAGAGCTAAAATAGCGTGCTGCTTCATGGTGTATGTTGTATGAGTGCTAGGTGAAGCTTACTGAGCAAGTATGTCCATGTCAATTTGTCAACCAATATGTTTCTTCAGGTTGCTGGCAAACGCTGAAGATTATCAACTCCTCCTTCACACATATTTTCCTTTTCTCCCCAGAAATGTGATTTCTTGATTTCTTTTCTCTTGTGTTTGCTAATGCTATATTTGCCAAACACATAATTAGTGAGAGGCTTGTGTTCATGGAAATTGGAGGGGGGAAAGATGTTTGTTTGTTCTGTTCATTAGTTCCCACATGACTTCGCAAAGGTTTCTGTCTTAGGGGCATGTATGTGCGTGTTTGATTTTATGAAGGAAATCACTAAAACTATGGTTTGATGCTTTTAGCACAATCATTATTTAATTGTTTCTAATGTAAAGCTAAATACATGCTTAGTTATGTATTTTAAAATGATTGATGCCACTCATTTCACTAGGTGGTAGAAGCAAAACTGAACCTTTTTTAATTTTTTGGGTGCTTCTTGTATTTGCCCTTCTAAGTTCTAATCATACCATACCTAAGAAAATTTCAGATTTTATTTCGAGCTGTTTGATACTCTAATAAAGAGAAAGTGATAGGCGTGAGATAGATTTCGTTTAAGCTCACATAACACGTTGAGAGCATCAAAACCCTACACGCAAAAAAATGCTTTTTTTTTTTTTTGTAATAAATGTGATGTAAGTTTAAATCCATCATGGTTATAGTTTACTAACTTATAAAGCTATATTGCTTCCCGGCTATTTACAAGGTTGCTAGATGCGGATCCCCCCCGCCCCAAAATGACTGGAGATGTTTTTCTGTAAGTGTTATATTTTATACATTTATATATTGTTTTGCAAGTCTTTCAAGGACGAAAACATAAGATTCTTTGTGGTATTGTGACCCTACAAAAGGATAACGAGAAACGGAAATGAATAAATATAGCACATCAAATTCATGTTTTGATGGTTCGAGTTAGTGGATGGGTTGGAAAAAGTAGGTTAAGTGGATGAATTTGACTAAATTAAATTAGTGGCAATTGAGAGTGAGACCTATTAGTCATTTGTCTACTCATAATATCTCTCTTGATATTTATATTATTTTTATTATATTAAGTTATGTTCATTTCAAACTATGAACTCTTATTTATTTATAGAATTAAAGGATAAAAATATTTTAAAATTTTCTTTTTCAAAGGCATCTGATATCCTAAATATTTGTTTGGAGCAATTTGTTTTGAAACTTTTAAAAAAAAAAAAAATATCACTCCCACCATTAAATTGGACTAACTATTGACTGTTAATTTGTCTTTGACAAACATGGATCACCATTTTGCTCCTTGCTTCCTCCTCTCTTTCCTCGTCATCCTCTCCATGTTGCTCCTCTGCGCCTGATCTCATCAGATTCATCTCACCCCTCCCTCTCTTTTGTGCCTATTCTCACCCTAAAAAAGCTATTATGAGCAGAAAGATTTCGCTTTTCTAGTTGCAAATGAGATTTTTTTGATTTGGGTTTTTGTTTTATCTTTGCTTTTCATTTCATAGAGAGAGATATGCTTTAAGCTCTTGGCCCTCAAATGCTAGCTACTATTTAGTTCCTCCTTTGAGTGTTAAAATAGATTATTATTTCTCTATCTATGTCACAATTAGAAGGAATAACAACTTGGGTCATGTTTTTTTTTTTTTTGGTTTCTCAAAGTAGAAAACAATCCAAAACAAACTACAATCACACAGAAAAATCACAAAGAGCATGACAATTCAAAATATATATGGGGTTTGGAAAAAATCATCCACCATGTCATGTTGGCTCAATAACTAAACCTGGAATGAGGAGAAATTGTTGTCAACATCACAACAAGAGGAAGAAGAGCTAAGGGAAAGGAGGCAGGTGGGGAAGCTATCATTGAAGGAGAAGGGAAGGCAATGAAGGTGTTAGGGGTAGCGGTGAGGGCGAAGGAATAACAAGTGAGGCAGACGCTAGTAAGGCGAGGTTATGCTACCTCTCATTCTCCTCGCTTTGACTCCTTAACTTAGTAGATTTTGTTGTGACTTTGATTGTTTAGATTGTGTAAAACTTGCCCAAGAAGAGGGGTGAATTGGATTAATTAAAAATTAAAGTGATTGAAATAGATATAAAGATAAAGTGAAAGCGATATATCCAAACAAGTCGAGAGTAGGGAAGAGAAGCTTTACGAAGATAGTTTATCTTGATCCAGCTTAATTCACTTGGCCTACATTAACTCCCCAGGAACCTTTTGAGATTTTTTACTACAACCAAAAGTTCGATTCAAGCACTTATGAAGCCACTTACAATTCTAAACTTAATGTCCATATCACTTTCTTTTATAACAATCCCACAAGTTTGATCTAGGCACTTGTAAAGCCATTAATAATCTCTTAGACTCACAAGTCTATTTCTCTCCCATAAATTTGATTCGAGCATTTGTGAAGTCATTTACAATCCCAAACTTATAAGTCTTTTTCTCTCTCCTTTATTGAGGTGATTACAAATCCCCTTAAACTTGTTGAGCTTATGTAACTTTGTTTCAAGTAGTAAAAAGCAGAGATGAACATAGTGAATTTAACAATGAATCACTATTGTAATAAAACTCTCTTAAAGTGAATATACAATCAATGAAGCTATCTAACAATGAATATAATAGTAGAAGGTTGTTAGAAAATGAATGCAGTTAGTTGGCTCGAAAAATTCTCTTCTCTTCCCTTCTTCACTTCTGCTTTATAAATGAGTCATATTTATAGTTAATTTTTAAAATAATATGTTTAGACTCATAAATTAGCTGTTACAGATTTCATTCTCTTCCTTCTATGTTCCTCAAGAAATTAGCTCAATAAAATAGTGCTTTTTAGCAAGTTTGCGTGTTTTTGACATCTTAAGGAAAATAACGGTTATATACATTAAATGCTCTAACAATAGATAAAGAAGGTTGATACTAGTAAAACAAATTATATATAGGTATGAAGAATAATCTACGCATTGATTAAGAGTTTAATCTAAACCTTAATTGTGTTTAAGATGTTTCTAGACAAGTAAGAATGAGAATACAACTCAAAGAAGTTGAATGAATTGGCATTTAAGTGAGCTTTAGAATGCTTTATTAAGGCTTCAAAAAACGGAGTAAAAATCTTCAAGTTGATACCAATGGGATGCTTTTGGTACCAGTATGAATATGAATGTATGACTAAGAGAGATTGAGACTCATATAGGTGCTAAGAAGCTTATATAGTGATGAATATCGTAAAAAATGAAGTTTTGATTCATTTGTTATGGGTATGAAGAAGTTTCATATAGGTATGAAACTTCATACGGGGATGAATCACAATGATACCAATATGAAACAGGATAAGATGGACTAGGTTCATTGCAGTATGAAACAATATATTAGGGTATCAAAGAGGTTGATATCGGTATGAAGATAATGATACCAGTATGAAGTGAACAAAAGACATTTCATTTTGGTATGAACTTGGAGAAAAGGGTATGAGACCTTGATACCATTATAAAGCAATTCATTTTGGTATGAACAAGAAAACTCAACATAAAAAATTTAATATATTTTAAAGCACAATCTGATCTTGTTCAAGGTGCATTGAGATAAATCAAATTTATCTGAAGGCTTATATGAGAGAATAAAATCAAAGGACATGGATTAGGATAAGAATAAGAGATTTAAGCTTACAGTCCAAACTTTTTTAAGTTTTCAAATACACATAATTATCTAATAAACATTTCTCTATTTTATAATTATCAAAATCAGGATTAAACATATTGTTGTTGTGAGTTTGATTGTTTAGAGAGTTGCGTGGTTTTTAGGTTTGATTTTTGGGTTCCATGAGTGGGGAAGAAGTAAGAGGAAGAAGCAACATGAAGGATGAGGAAAGAGAGGTGGAAGCAAGATAAGGAGCAGAATGTTGACATGTATTAGTCAAAGGCAAGGTTAATGGTCAACAATTAATCCAATTTAATAGTGAGGCGATGTTGCTCCTTTTTTAAAAGTTCTGAGATAAAATTATTCCAAATAAAAATTTAAAATATTAGGTGCTCCTGAAAAAAATTCTAAGACATTTTTTGCATTTTAACTCTTATTTATATCTTATTTATTAGAAACCAATGGATATATCCAAATTATCATAATTGGGAAAAAATTCCATTCGTAGGGTAAGCTCATATAGGTTTAGATAATATCAAATTAGTTATTTTATTAACTAGTTTGTTATTTATTTGGTTTGGCAAGTACTTAGATATGGACAAGTTGACAAAAAATATTTCAAATCTAATTAAATAAATCACATATCAAACATGATTGCATTGTCTAGAGCACATTATAATTATAACTACTTAAACAGATCTACATTCATTTCAATGCTTGGTCTTTGTCAATGAATTTTGTAAGTTTCAAAAATTTTGTATCGGAACTAAGAAACATAATTGTTAATAAATACTTGTTTCTTACTTTACAAAATTTAATTGTTTAGAAATCCTACCCTTCATCAAAATAAGAAAATGTTAGTTGAATTTTTCATTCAAGATGTTAAGTAAGATATACTTTTCATTAGATATACTTGTAATTTGAAACATGCTAATGGATTAGATCTTTCAAATCATCAAATGCAAAATACAAAACTTGTAAATAATAGGAGAATTGGAACATCATTGCATGAATTGCCAAATTAGGAAATTCACATACTTAAGTTTAAGAAAATAAAAAAACTTTACTATATAGTAAACATTTTCTTAAGTGTTACAGAACTTTAACATCTTATCTTTTACGAATTTTATTTTGATAATGCCTAACATCTCCATAACAATTTGTCTTTGAAGTGTACTCCTTTGAATTTATAGCTTTTGGCAAAATTATTGGGATTTTTCTATCAAGCTTTGGTGACTTGGTGCTAAAACTCAACAAAAAAAAAAGAAAAAAATTATTAGCTTTTGGCAAAATTATTGGGATTTTTCTATTAAGCTTTGGTGACTTGGTGCTAAAACTCAACAAAAAAAAAAAAAAAGAAAAAAATTATTTCCTCATTTAGGTCAAAAAAACCCATTGTGCGGAAAATATCAGCTCTCTTTCCCTCACGTTACGCGTAAGTGAGGTGCATATTTTGTGGAGCCTCATCCTAATCAAAGAAAGGAACGTCTCTCCTCTTAAAACTAAAAAATAAAGTTAGATTTTAAGCTTTGTTCCTTGTATATTGCTTTATATATGAAAGAGTTATGTAATGAAAATATTTTTTTTTTAAATGAAAGATAAAGACCTTTAAAAAAATCAAGATCTTTTATAATTAAAATTTTAAGAATTGATAATTCAAAATCCTTATTTTGTATTAATTTTTTAAAAGTAAAAAATTAATTTTATTTATTAATGCAATCATTTTTATCAAAATAATATTATTTTAAAATTTAAAATAATGATAGTAAATAATAAAATTTTTTAAAATTATAATTTTTAAAATGTTTCATAATTATATATTATTTTTAAATAATAAAAATTTTAAAATCAATCTAAAATATTTAATAAAATAAAAATATTAAATTTTTAAAATCTTTATAATAACAATAAATTTAATTTATTATATATATATATATATTTGTGAATATGTGATGTATTAAAAAATATATATACTTTGTGTAGTTAAAAGAAAAAATATCATGAAATAATTTTTTTAATATATTATCTTTTCATGCGCAAGAAAATATACTTAATTTAGATTAGTCTTTTATTATTATAAGACAAATAATACACCTAGTTGTTATTTTAAGTTTCTTTATTACCGTGTCCGTGCTTGGAAATTCCGTTCTCTCTTTGTTTCAGTGAGCTCGTTTTTTTCCAGGCAGAAATCTTGTTCTTTTCCATGAAACGATTTGTAATTATCTTGATTCGATAGTTATCTTGTTGAGTTTTTTGAGGTGAAAGAAGAATCTTTCCATTTTCTTCCTTCCGTTTACTGTGCTTTTCTTTACGGGCTTCATTTCTCTTCAATTCTAGGTTGTTAGGGATATACGAATTGTAATGTTTAGGGTTCGCTTGGATCCATCGTAGTTTGATTGATTCATAGATTTTTTCTCCCTTTGTTGCTGACGAATTCTATTCCTATATCTGCTGCTCAGTACATTTTCTGGCTTTAATTCCTTCCCTTTTAAGTTTTAAATTTTGATCAAGTTCATTTTCTGTATATTCTTCCACTCATTTATGATATGATTTTAAAGATGTGTGTTTTAAAAAAGCTGGAGGTTAGTGATTTAGATGTGTATTTTTCTTTTTCTTTTTGAAATATTTTGAAGTAATTTACATGTGCAGTTTTGATTGTTAAAAAAGGTAACCCTCGTTGTATACTGTGTTTCGATGGTTTTCTGACTTTCTAGCGATGTAATTTTGCAGCTACAAACCTCCTTCAAAACAATTTGGGAAATGAGAATGTATTTCTGACGACTATAGTACATATGACATGCAGATATCTTTATTAACTCTCCCACCTTTTTCTTTAGCAATTCTTTCTGCTCTTTTCATCCGTTGGTCTATAGATTCAAATATTGTTAGCTCGAAAGTATAGTAATAGCTATGTCGTACCTACATGAATTTTTTCTATTATTTTACACAAGAAGAAGCTAGAATTATGCTGCTTAGTAGCCTTTACGTTTCTCATGTCCTTTTGCGAATGGATGCCAGGGGTCTCAAGAGGCCTCGCTTGAGGCTGTATTGAATATATGGATTCCCATGCTTTGCATTTAAAACTAAAGCCCATCTGAGTTGTCTTCTGTTGGATTTGTCTATCTGCTTCTGTTTTGGATTTCCTAGAGATGGGACTAGCACTTGGTTGTCTTCAAGTGGACCAGTCAACAGTTGCTATCAAAGAAGTTTTTGGGAAGTTTGATGATGTTCTTGAGCCTGGTTGCCACTGTGTGCCCTGGTTTTTCGGCAGTCAGGTGGCTGGTTACCTTTCTTTGAGAGTGCAGCAGCTAGATGTTCGATGTGAGACAAAGACAAAGGTCTGTGGTACTATGACTTCTATGTTAATGGAACATATATTGTCTTTTTATAACCTGTGTACTTTTTCTTGACAATGTATTTTTCAATATTAATTTAATTGTCTGTTTATATGTGCTTTTTCTTCCCCCTAGATAGTGAACATCTATTTCTCCTGATGCACTCTTTATCTGACATTGATTTGTTACACCCCATCAGGACAATGTTTTTGTCAACGTGGTTGCTTCTATCCAATATCGTGCCCTGCAAGACAAGGCAGTGGATGCTTTTTACAGACTTAGCAATACTAGAGAACAGATACAAGCCTATGTTTTTGATGGTGTGTATCTGTACCTGGGCTCCTCGGAAGAGTTAGTTTTTATTGATGCAATTTTACGACTAAACTGATAAATCCTTAATATTATTTCAGTTATCAGGGCAAGTGTTCCAAAGATGGATCTAGACTCCTCATTTGAACAGAAGAATGAAATTGCAAAAGCTGTGGAGGAAGAACTTGAAAAGGTGTTTCTTTTTCTTCCTTCTTTTTGTTCTGTTTCTAGAAGATTAGAGTAAGGATATCTAAAATATATGGCTTTCATTTGTGGATATGTAGGCTATGGCAGTTTATGGTTATAAGATAGTTCAGACTCTTATAGTGGATATTGAACCAGATGAGCGAGTGAAGAGAGCCATGAATGAGATAAATGCTGGTATGCTGTTTAGATGGCAATTCTTTGTTCCGCTGAAATTTCACTTGTTTTATTTTTCATGCATATAAATGGACGAAATGTAAAGTTGCTTTTGGCCTGAGTTTTTCAGGCCGAGAGCTGGTACAAAATGTTGAGAGTAAAAATGAATCTACACCTATACTAACAGATGACTAAAGATTTGATTTTTTTTTTTTAATGGATATCCAATACCCTTTTTTTATTTGAAAGTGGAGAATACTTGCCAATATTACATTATTACTTACCTGATGAATTTGATAGGAAAATTATAGAAGGCTTTCTTGAACCCAGCTATTTTAAGCTAAATTTTATTTGGGCAGGAACTTATTTAATGTGGGTTGTTTTATTTTTCATCTTCTTTTAATTTACCCTGTGATTTAATCATTGCTACAAATAGCTGCAAGATTGAGGGTGGCTGCCAATGAGAAAGCAGAAGCAGAGAAGATATTGCAGATCAAGAAGGCAGAAGGTGATGCAGAATCGAAGTACTTAGCAGGGCTTGGAATAGCTCGTCAGCGCCAAGCCATAGTAGATGGGTTGAGGGACAGTGTGTTAGCCTTCTCTGATAATGTACCTGGGACAACATCAAAGGATGTCATGGACATGGTTCTAGTGACCCAGTATTTCGACACAATGAAGGAGATTGGTGCATCATCAAAATCCAATTCCGTCTTCATTCCACATGGACCTGGTGCGGTAAGAGACGTCGCTTCACAAATTAGAGATGGTCTTCTCCAGGGAAATGCAACTCAGTAGTCTGAAATATCAGTGGTTCAGTATATGCAATTTTTCTGGGGTGACCATTTCTAAGTTTCGTTGTGTTTGTTAATATTCCACTGATGCACGAGCACATTTCTATCCATCTCTGGTCCTTCGTGATTGTGAATGCTCAAAATATAGCAGCTGTAGTTTCAGGTATTGCATGAATGGAATAATTAGTACTATTGGTGACTTATGAATAAATTTTACTCGTGACGTTTTTTATTTTATATTGATGTTGATATAGTGAGTGACTTTGGAATAAATGCATTCTTTTTTTCTTGGATGAACTCTTCCTTTGTAGTTTTTGTTTGCTTTGGTTTTATGGTGTAGTAAACAGTCAGTCCAACGAAAGCTCTTTAGGATGCGACGTTTTATTCGTCACGTAGGGGCATTTTGCTTGCGTCAAATTGACTCAACTGGAGAGACAGGTTCTTAGTTTTTTTTTTTTTTTTTAATTTTGACAAGAGACAGAGAGTAATACAGAAGAATAAAAATGTGGAATAAATAATTATATTTTTGGCATTCACCGAATTTCCCCCACCAAAAAAAAAAAAGAGGGATGAGGAAACATGATCATTGATGCCAAATGTTTAGTCATGAGTTGGTTTAGCTAGAACATTGCACTCGCTCGTTGTCATTTCTGATAACTAGTCACTGCCATCTTCTATTTAGATTCTAATTTATACAATTTTTAATTTACTGACTATGCTCGTTTTTTTTTTTTCCTTCATTCATTGCATACTAAACCAACGGTTAATTATGACTCTCTCCATTAAAAATAACGCCTACAAGGGGAGATTGACGTTGAAGGACCACCATAAAAAAATAACACCAAAAAGACTATATATTTGCAAAGGACAACGGAGGACCAAGGTTTAAAATAGAAGGAATATGCTTGTACGTGATCAAACAAATCTTAATTGCAAATTGCGGAGGTCTTGTTGTAAATGTTAAAAAAAAAAAAATCAGTTATAAATTTTAGAAAATTAGTTATAAATAAGTTAAAATTTTTGAAGTCTTGTAAATTAAGGAAGCAATTAAAAAACCTAGAAGTTTAATGGTAAGTCTTTTAAATTTGTATTTAAATAAGTTGCAATTGGGAAAATTTTATAAATCTTAAAAACTTAGTTATAAATATTAGAAGCTAAATTATAAATCTTAAAAGTGTGGTTGTGATACTGATAAGTTATCAATGTCTTTTTATAAGCCTTTGGCAATTTACAATATATTTATAATTTTAACTAATATTTTGATATTTATAACTAAGCTTTTGAAATTTATAATTACTGTAAGTTTTAAATATTTACAAAACTCCAACAATTTACAACATACTTGCAACCGACATTATTTAAATTTTTGTCTTTTTATTTTTTTAAAATTTTATTCTTTCCATGTGACTTCAAATATTTTCAGTCCTTTAATGTCATTTTTTTTTCGGGGTACTTCTATGTAAATCTCCTTATGAGCAAACTCTTCTTTCTAATCTTTGATTCGGTTAAAGAAAAATAAATGATTAGCAATGGAGGGGGCAAAGAATGAGAGAGAATCGATAAATTGGAAAGGCAGCTTGGGCAGGACATCGATATTTTTGTTTTTTCTGCAGCATTGTATTCTACTGGTCAGCTTCAAGAGAAAGAGCTCATCTCTGAGATTTCTGTGTCTTTGAGCAGAGAGGTTACTTTTGTACTTAGTTCAACGCCTGTGCTTCGTTCCTCCTGCGCAGAGCTGATACCACTCACTTCAACTTTCACAAGCCGATCAATCGAGGGCTCAGAAGACCCGAGAACGTTTGGATACTGATTTGTTCCACGTGATCTACTCTCTTCGTTTTCCTTCTAGATTTAAATTACTGGTTTTCGTGTTGATTACTGTGTTTTGAGGACTTTGGAGGAGTAAAGTTGTAATTTTTTAGGTTTTATTTAGGGAATTTATAGTCTGGGCTTGCGCTTCTGTGCTGTTCGTGGTGCTGGGAGGGGGACATTGGAGGGAGTGGTGTTCGGTATTCGGGGGCTTTTAATGATATCTGAGATTAACTTCTCAGGGTCTTCGAGAGATGGGATTGGGTGCTGATAATGGTAAGGTGGAGTCTTGGGATGTCAGCAAATCAAAGGGGAAGAAGAAGAAGAAAGATGATGGCGTTGTAGAAGAGGAAGAAACTGGGTGTTGGGTTGGCCTGAGGTTCATTGGGAGCTGCATTTCTTCGAGATCCAAGGTTGATAGCTCAGTTAGCAGCATCAGTACTCATTACGGTAACTTCTGTGTTCCTTGGAAAAATGTTGTTCATGTATGATATGCTCGGGATTTCCAACTCTATGCATGTTTAGCTGTCTGTTTGAATTGTACCCTTTCTTAGTCAGTGTAGCATGATTTTACGTATTTTCCCAGCATATGATCCTTCACAGTTCACATTAGGGGGAAAATATCCTTCCTGACTGTCAAGTGCAAGTTACTGATTTATCAGGCGATTCAATCTGAAATTACGCTGCAAAATGTAAAATGATTGACAAATGATGGTTGTACAACAAGTGTATTATAGAAGTTTTGCTGTGGCCCCCTTCAGAGGATTGCATCAGAATTGACTTGAACATACGGATGTGGCTCGCCTACTGTGAAATAAAAATTTCATGTACTTCAATTTTCTACTTCCTAAAGTGTACATTTAAAATTAAAGCCCAAGCAGAGTTCCATATTCTTGAATAGTATGCATTTGCATATGTATTACTCTGGGTGAGAAGCTACTGTGAGTTGGAATTTTAGACTGAAACAAATTAGCAAGTTTTGCAGCTGGGACTAAAAGTTAGTAAGTAATTAATGTTAGAGTTAGTTGAGTAACTATTTGAAAGGTAGCTGGGTTCAATCCTGTATGGAAAGAGCTGAATATAAACATTGGCAACCATGTGCCCTTATCAACGTAGATGAGCTGAAATATTTTAACTGTGAATTTCACATATCGATTTTCTCAATTTAAAATTTTTTAAAAAGTGACAATGGTGGAGACTAGTCCTTTCTTTGTGCGAGAGTCAGCGGTGTCAAAACAAGTGTCTTTTTGAGAACTTTGCCGGGCTCAATTTCCTTGCATTTCCTTATTTCCAAAAGCATTTTCCGGTTGAGTTTTTGTTACCTCATTGAGTGGGGGATAAATTCATAAATTATATGATTGCATTCTCAGCTAACTTATGGCAATCAAATTGTATTACTTGCATGAAATGCATCCTAAATGACTTGTCTCTTGACAACTAATTATTTCAAATAGCGTCTACTTTCATAGGCTTTCTGTATTTCTTTGTTCCTTTCAACCTTGAAACTATAAATTTCCTCTCATCTTGCCCAAGCTCAATATTGCTCAAAGTTGCTGCTGTTTTAGATTCTGAATTTTTAGCCTGTCTGGTTGTTTTGGCTTCTCATTAGCTGAAAGTAAATCAACTAACGGTACAAGTAGAGATCAACCAACAGCTCCAGTAGTCTCTTCTACAACCACAAGTAACGCAGAAAGTAATTCATCCACCTCCAAACTTGAAGAGGAGCTTAAGGTTGCTTCCAGGCTGCGAAAGTTTGCATTTAATGATCTTAAGGTGGCAACAAGAAACTTCCGGCCTGAGAGTCTTCTTGGTGAAGGTGGGTTTGGTTGCGTATTCAAGGGATGGATTGAGGAAAATGGAACTGCTCCAGTGAAACCTGGCACAGGGCTGACAGTTGCTGTAAAAACTCTCAACCATGATGGGCTCCAGGGTCATAAAGAATGGCTGGTTTGTAACTTTGATAATGTTTTATCATATGAATTTTGTAGATTTTGACCTTTTTTTTCTTATTGCATTATATTTTACTCCTTTTTTAATAATGTTTCTTGTTTGTCTTGCGTGACAGGCTGAAGTAAGTTTTCTTGGTGATCTAATTCATCAAAATCTTGTTAAACTCATAGGCTACTGTATTGAAGATGATCAAAGGTTGCTAGTTTATGAATTCATGCCTCGGGGAAGCCTGGAGAACCACCTATTTAGGAGTAAGTTCCCCCCTTGGTCTAATGAGTTTCCTCAAATTATCTTCTAATCATATTTGGAGCACTAGGAGCCCCTTAAAAAGTTGCTAATGCCACACTAAATTTATAATTCTGCTAGAAGCCTCTATTTAAAACATGGTGTTCTTCTCAATACAAAGAAATCTTGGTGGAAAATGGTGTCATGCCTTTTAAATTATAATCATTTCATGTGAAGAAGTTTCATTGTGCCCTTTTTGAAAGAAACAAATATGATGTAGATTAGAGGTGTTCACGGGACGGGATTGAGACACCTCCATCTTGTGTCTTGTCCTGGAAAATGATTGGGACTGAATTTTTATCCCATATTCTATCCCATTTTGAAAGTTGTCCTATTTCATTAGGAATCGGGATGAGATCGAGATGTTCTAATAAAGCGGACAACATGGGAGAAAAATTTGGATAATAATATTCATTAGAATATTAAATTACATTACTTGTTAAGTTTAAAACCAAAATAATATGAGTACATGAATCATAGTGATTTAAAATCAATTATTGAGTTGTGTCAATCACAACTACAAGTGTACAATTTAGAGTCAAGTGTACATGAGACATAACAAATCATTACAGCAACTATAGATGACCTTTAAGCTACAAGAGCAACAATAATAGACAAGTTAGACATAACATCAGGTCAGTGTTCTTCTTCTTTAATTGAGATATTTGAAGTTATTGGCTTTTCCAAAAAATAAAGCAAAAAATACGATATAAACAAAAATTGATAAATAGGTAGATATAAAAACAAATTATATTAATATAATTATTACTTCCTCTGTTTCTATATATAAGAGAAAATAATTGCATCACACAGTTTAAGAAAATCAGTTAACGATAATAATTGCATTTGGAACTAAAGAAAAAAACTTGACCAAAATGCCCTTGTTTTTAATCAAAATAAGGCTGTGTTAATTATTTCTCATGAATGAAAATTATTAGTTTATGAAGTGTACAACAACAACAACAAGAAGAAGCAACCTTATCTCACTAGGTGAGGTCGGTTACATAGATTATATGAAGTTATTGTGCTGTATCATTTATCAAGTTTTTAAAAATATTGTTAGTTAAGAGGTCTCGGTCAACAACCTTTAAAAGTGTTCTCTTTGGTCTTCCTCTACCTCTCTTGACATGGTTTAAAGTTATCCGTTTCATTCTCTTCACAGGTGCCTCCTGTAGTTTGTGAAGGGTAATTTA